ATTTGTGCAGATTAAAAAGCAGGATGTTTGACATATGTTGCTTTGTCCAGCTTCTAAGGTTTCACAGCTGCAGAGGCTTTCTTGTCCTCTCATATTTCAGCACCGACAGTTCTGAGGAGGAGGGGATTTTTATTTTCTGTGGTTGGTATATTAGAAGTAAACACGAGGAAGGATGAGGGAGCGGAGAGCAGCAAAGCTCGTTGGACGTATTCCCAGTCCTCGGCACCATCGATCTGAGACCACACAGCCGCAAAATGTTCCCAAGCAGCTTGGATAAAGTAGGAGTATGTGGTTCCTTTCATGAAGGGCTGTTAACACAGTAGCCTGCTAAAGCCACCAAATCCAGTCCATTTTAAAAATAATTAATAATGGGGATCCAATCTATCTAAAAATAACACATTGACTCAAATTACCCACCTTCTCTGGTTTCAAGTGTCGTTTAACAACCAGACATGTTTCATCAGAAGGAGCTGAGAGCAACAAATGAACTAAAGTAAAAGTAGCAGAACAAATAGAGTATTTGGTGAAACGTCTACTCAAGTAACTGATTAAATTAATCATTTAGTATTTAAAAATTCAATCATTTGACGAACCAATAAAGTTGGAATTTTGGTATTTTAATGACTAAAATGACAATAATTCATAAAAGTAACAAAAAACATTTTTGGCCTTTTTTTCTTCTTTCTGAATCAGTTTCTTTCAATGCAAAACTTAAAAAAAAACTGCAGGTCTCGTTACTTTTTGGTTAAAACATGTTTGCCTTTCATTCAGTGGGTAGAGAATCAAGTAAGAGTAGAAATACGTCTTTATAAAATTACTCAAGTAAAAGTACAAAGGTATTTGGTAAAAAGGTTTCCTCAAGTAACTGATCAAATTATCAATCATTTAATATTTAAAAGTTACGTAACCCGAAGGACCAAAGTATGAAGATAAGTGGAAATTTTGGTATTTTAATGATAAAACTGACAATAATTATAAAAAATTAACAAGTTAGGCAAAAAAAAAAAAGTTTTTAAATCAGTTTGAGTCAATAAAAAACTTGAGCAAAAACTGCCTGTGTCTGGTTGAAACACGTTTGTTTTTCTTTCGGTGGGTAGAGAATCCAGAAAGTTTACTCAGGAGTAGAAATACTTCATAATCAAATTACTCAAGTAAATGTAACGCAGCTAGTTACCACCCAGCTCTGATTAAGTGAAAGCTCCTCTGGGTAAAGACAAAGTCAGGAGAGGCTCTGAAGGATTCCTGAAAGAAGAAACTGTGACTGCGTGAGCGGCAACAGATGGATGATTTGGGGAACACATTCAGCTGCAGGCAGTCGACAAACCCTTCCTACATATAAACTATTTAACAAAGAATCCAACAGAACGGCCACAAAGACGCGAGCAGCCCGCTGGAGCGACACGCAGGCCTCTCCATCAGCAGCACGCTCCCACGTCGAGTGCTGGCCGACCGCAGGATGCTGGCCTGCCTCCCAGCCAGCCCCGCTAATTAGTCCCCTCTCTTCTGAGCTAATTGGCTGGTAAAAAATGAGGATGGCCTCTTCACCCAGCCCCGAGTGTTGTGCCACCAAATGGCAGTGAGGAGGATTATGTTGGCTTATGAGGCATGGTGACACTCGGCGAACAACACTCCTCCGCTATTAGCTTCCCCTTCAAGAGGGTCGCATCCGCCGCGTCGCTCGGGTTTGTTAGCGGGCGAAGCTTCAGCCCAGTAATGTGTTCTCATTAAACGCCTTGGTGTAAATTAACAAGCGGATCATTCATTTAACATGACATTGAGGTCTGGGTGATATCAGTGTTACATCATGTAGTAATAAAATGTTTAAAAACCTATTTACATTTTTTTGGTTTTTTCTTGCCTGTTGGGATAATGGGTTAGAGATCTGAGGCTTGCTCCTGACAACAGGCCTGGTGTTAAACTCAGATGGGTCAGAAATAAATCAGACTTGATGAAAAGTCCCAGTTTTCCTCTAAAATGCAGCACAGTATGAATGCAAGAGTTGAGCAACCTCTGGTTTCTTTATAGAGTGCCACCTATGTAGCATCTCTGTAAGTTCACATGTGAATAAATGAAGAGTCAATCATCATCATGGAGAAAAATATGTTTTTTACATATTTGTTAAAACTGTCACGTTGTTTTGACCCCTTGTAGCGACACAGAATGTGTGCAAGATCCCGCCCCCATCTTCCTGGTTTAGGGCAAAAACCTGCTGGCTAACGATGGTTAGCATTGGCTTTAGCTGTTACGTTGTCAGTATAACACACTAAATCTTAAATGTACACCTGATATATAAACGAAAAAGCAGAGCTTTGCTACTAATTGTCAACACTACAACAACTAGATGACAAGGTCAGGAAAAAGATTTAAATAAGAAAGAAATAGTGAGGGAGAGAGAAGTAGCTCAGTTATGCTAGCTTGACTTTGACAAATGTAACATGTAGACGTGCTGTGGAATTTGGTCTGTTTTGGTTTAGTTGCAAAGTAAAAAAGGCGACTCTCTTACCGTATGCTCTTTTGACATATGCTCTATGATATGATGACATATCATAGAGCATATAGAGCAGGTGTTAAAATTAGCTAATCAACCACCGCAGTGTTAGATTAGCCAAAAGCAGCTAGTCTACTACAATGATCACTTAGTAATAAAAGCAAAATAAACACCAAGCCTAAAAACATAATACTGTACTGTAATGTTTTGTTCTTTGTGTGGGAAATGTTTGAGTGTTTTTTGAAGTTGAATCCTGAAACATAAAGTGACATTGTTGCTACTGCAGCTAGCATAGCCTGTCATGAATGTTCAGTCTGGTTAGCATGGACACCGATGACGGCACATAAATGTTTTTTCTGTTATGGTAAGTTGTTTTTCTATCACTAGCACATTTAGCAGCGAATACATGTGGTTGATTGACAGCACTAAGACCCTCCTCCTGGCTCTGATTGGTTGTTTTTGGTTGGGCTTGGTTCATTTCTTCAGACGACAATAGCAGCTCAGGGAGGAGATCGATATTTTCCCAGATTGTCCGTCTCGCAACAAACAAGGTGACCGTTTTATAAAAGTTACATACTGCAGCTTTGAATTCTCTCTTGTTCAGCCAATCAGCAGCAAGGAAAAGGAATAGCAGACCTGGATTGGTTGGTTTGTAAATCCCAGCCATTAGCTTAGCATTATGCCTAATTATTTCAGCATTTTCTTTCAAATAGTTTAGGAAAAAATCCACGAGTAGGAAAGTTTTCCATGAATAATTTTAAAAATCCAGGAGTAGGTGACTCCTCAAGTACTGAGCTGCGAATAGGTGGGGGTCCACTGCATTCCACATACCATTGTAACCATTCTGACCTTTGACCTCAACGAGGCTTTTTTTTCATCCACACAAACTGCTGCTCAGTGGATATTTTCTCTTTTTCAGATCGTTCCTTTGAAACCTGAGACCTGGTTGATGAGAATCCCAGTAAGATGACAGTTTCTGACCAGTCACCTAAAGTCCTTTTTCATACTTGTATGCAGACACACATTCAGACATATAAAAAGAAAACCTTGGAAAATAAATTTATATCAACTGATACATCCGCTTTAACTGAATGTACACAAAAATACTTCATAATTACAACAAAACATAAATATACCTATAAAATAATACAGAATTAATCCAGTATTATTGCAGTCCTACATTTTAAACTACGGTGGGCTGTCTTCCTTAATCCATTGATTTGCTAGAATATAGTCGGCTGATTCTTTATTTCTGTTTAAAACAGTGAAAGCAGTTGAAGTCAGGTGAGGGCAAATGCAACACAAAGGCCTGTTTTGTTCTCCGTTCTGTAACCGAATCTATTAAAAACAGCAAAGATAACCGTCTGATGGATAGAAATTATATTTTACCTCCAGCAAGGTGATTTCCAGAGCGCTATTAGCACAAGCTTGGCATTCAGTGGATGATTAACTGAATGACGGCGCATCCCTCAGGCTTAGTTTCGGGATTTTTCTACGTCTTTTTATATTTATTAAAAAAACTTGACTCTTTCTCGGCAGGTTAAACATTTTTTCTGCATGGATTTGATAAACCCCAGCTGAGGACGTTTCTGTTACAGTAAACCTGAAAGTATAAATAACAAAAATACTTTAAATTATAAGGCTCTCTTGAGCAAACTGCTGCCATATTTGCTTTTTCTCGTGTCCCAAACATTGGTAGGAATCGAGCACCTTGATCCTGGAATAATTCACAAGGCATTAAAACTTAAACTATTTTATTCCCGTTACTGAATTTAAAAATGTTTAACTGAGGAGTGTAATTTCTATTTTTAAACCCCTTTCTATGGATTTTACAGTCTTAATCTTACTGTAAATGTTTGACTTACTTTGCACTTAATTTATGTTTTAGCTGTCTGTACCTTTTATTTTTTGTTTTACATACTGTAAAAACTAAAAAAATCTCATGAGACTTCCTGCTTAAAAACAAAAACGTTAAATAATAATAATAAATGCCACAGCGAGGCAGCAATGTGGTCAGAGGAGAACTATTTTACTTATAAGAGTAATAACTACCTTTAAAAGCAAATTACACAGATAGTAGTACCAGTTTAAATGAACTCTGGTATTTATACACTGTGAACTTTAATGCATTTTCTCCCATTAGAGGATGTAAATTCAAAACACAGATTGTTATTGGTAAAATAAACAAGAAATGTTCTTCCACGTTAAACTATGCAGTACACTGTAAACAGTTTGTTGTTTTGACTCAGTAAAGTTGTATCAATTTTAACCGTCAAGTTCAAAACGCTTAATAAAAGTTATTGCTGCAACTTCTATTAAGTTGACTTAACTGTCTTTAGCAATTATAATAAACTGATAATTAATTACAATTAATTTTTAAAAAGTCACCCCAATTTGGTTTTTACATTATTACATCATGTTGACTCAACATACATTTTTTTTTATTTTTTTAACTTTTTAACACTTTTCTAAGCTACCCTTGTGATGTTCATTTTTTACTCTGATTTTTATTTTTGTTATAAATTATGCTGGTGAGTCTAAATAAGAAATACAACGTTTTATGGATATTAAGTCAGAAAATTGTTCAAAGTTCATACAGCTGTGTTGGTGTGTTAAAAGGAAGTTGGTTGTTATCTGATTTAATCTTAATAAATGTCAAAATATTTCTCCTTTCGCTTCCGGTTGGGGGCGGGTGGCAAAATATATATGAAAAGTGAAAAGCAGAAGTTTAATCTGCATGTTGTGACCGCATTATGGTGTATTGAAACCATAAGAGAGGAGAACAAAACGGAAAATAAAGAACTAATTGTTAATTAAAAGACTAAAACAAAGATAAATCCTCACTTATTCCCATCTTAAAGGAGACGGTGTTTCGCTTTCTTTTGCGTCCCCCAATTATAAAGTTACAATCAGATAATTTACACCGGTTATGAATGGGTGCTTTCCTCCAAGTCCCGCCCCTTCCGTTCCCACACACGGACCAATCAGCGGCGCCGCTTCCTCTCGGTGGGACGTAACGTCAACTGGCGTCGTGTCGGGATTGGAATGTTAGCGAGCAACAATCGGAACAACTGAGCACTCGGTAATTGGACACTCGGTCTGAGGAATCCTGCCGTTTTTTCCCTACGTTTTCCCAGCGTATCCCTCCAGTTTGAGGCTGCCGCTCGCTTCCCTCTGCTCGGCCGGACAACTTCGCCCGCTCCGCCGCTCTCTTCCGACCATGTTCTTTTGATATTTGTGAGGGAATGAGCGGAGGTGATAAATAGGCAGAGAAATGCAGGGATTTGTCAGGTTACAGATGGACCGCTGAAGCGTCTCCCGGTGTTTCTGATTCTTCCAAACCGGGCACCATGGAGCGATAAAAGGACAACATCCAGCCGGAGAGGCGTTCACACCGCCGGGGATTCTTTCTTTCTTTATTCTTCTTTTTCTTTTCTTTCCTTTTTTTAAAATTCTACCCGGTGTTCAACATCCAACCTTCACGTCTGGGAGAGCCTCGGGGCCCCCTGCCGCTGGCGCTCCAGCCTGGATGAGGGGAAGCGGCCGCAGCGCAGAGGCTCCGGACAGGTCTTTGTCGGTGCGTCGCTGGATGTGGTGAAACTCCACAAGCGGCGTACAAATCGCCCACATGCGCTGGATCAATCGCCGGATCTCGGAGCACAACACGAAGAAGGGGGGTTGGGGATGGAGCGATGCAGCCGGGGCTGGTGAGAGCCTAACTTGGGGCCACTTTAGCTTTGTTATTCCTGAGCAAGTCGCCTCTGTTCCCGGGACACATGCAGGCCAAAAAACGCTACCTGATCCTCCTGTCCGCCGGAGCGTGCCTGGCGCTGCTCTTCTGCCTCGGAGGGGTTGAGCTTCCAGCGGCCAGGAGGAGCCGGCAGGACCGCAGCAGGAGCGGGTACCGGCCCGAGCAGCCGTGGCCCCACTACTCGGACCCTTTACACGCCTTCCTGCCCTGGGATCAGACGGACACCGAGGATTACAACCTGCACATATCTCCGACGCAGAAGCGGGACGTGAACAGGAGCGTTTACAGGGGCAAGCGGTGCCGCATGGATTCCTGTTTCGACTTCTCTCTGTGTCAGAAGAACGGCTTCAAAGTTTATGTTTACCCCCAGCAGAAGGGGGAGAAGATCTCGGAGAGCTACCAGAACATCCTATCCACCATCGAGGGCTCCAGGTTCTACACCTCCGACCCGGGACAGGCGTGTCTGTTCGTCCTGAGTCTGGACACTCTGGATCGGGACCAGCTGTCCCCTCAGTACGTCCACAACCTGAAGACGAAGGTCCAGAGCCTGCCTTTGTGGAACGACGGCAGGAACCACCTCATCTTCAACCTGTACTCCGGAACCTGGCCGGACTACACGGAGGATCTGGGCTTTGACATCGGCCAGGCCATGCTGGCCAAGGCGAGCATCGGTTCTGAGAACTTCAGGCCCAACTTCGACGTTTCCATCCCGCTCTTCTCCAAGGAGCACCCTCGGACCGGAGGGGAGAGGGGTTTCCTGAAGTACAACTCCATCCCGCCTTTTAGAAAGTACATGCTGGTGTTCAAGGGGAAGCGCTACCTGACCGGGATTGGCTCGGACACGCGGAATGCCTTATACCACGTCCACAACGGGGAGGACGTGGTGCTGCTCACCACCTGCAAGCATGGGAAGGACTGGCAGAAACACAAGGACGCGCGGTGCGACAAGGACAACGCGGAATATGACAAGTAAGTTGGATTTCACCACGTTTAAAAAGCTTTTTTGGAGCTTTTACGCGCCAGGCGTAAAAGTCTGTGCGTAATAGTGGATCTTGCCCACATCCAAACCGCTGGAGCTGGCGCTTAGTACATGGAAATGTCAGCCTGCGCCTGCAGAGTGAAGTTGGAGTTGTGAGGTTTTTCAGGTTTGGCATCCAGCTGTTTACAGGGCGGATCCAGATTTGTGTTTTGCACTTTAGAGTTTGATTTATTCAAGTTCATCCTTAAAAATGTCAGATTTCTCCTCAACGACTTATTGAAGTTTTAAAAAAATGGCCTTCAAGATAGCAGCTTCCTGTTGTCGTTCATTATTTATATTAGGAACGGAAGTAACATCATATCAGTTATTTTAGTGAGCATAATGGTTTAGTGTCATTTATTAGCGTTTGACATGACTAATATCTGTCTCTGCATGGAGAATGCAGATTTGTTACTGCAACTTTGACTTTGCCAAGAAGCTGCTGAGCATGTTCCAGAACAACCCGAGGTTAAAAGAGGTCAGGAGGATAAAACCTGAGCTCCTTGCTGCAAAACCGTCCTGTTATCTGCTGAAAGTCTTGCTCTCTTTCTCTTTCTCGCAGCCCTGTTGAACCACATGGTGTTTCTTTTTTTTTTTTTTTTTTTTTAAAAAGATTCTTGTCTCTCACTGGTTTGATTTTAAACAGTTCACTGATATTGAAAATGACTCAAATTGAGTGTTTGTACCACATAAAAACGTTAGAGTGTTTATTAGACCCGCGCGCACGCACACACACACACACACACACACACAACAGCTCTTACATGCTAGGTGTTAATCAGAAAACAAGGCGGTTTCCATTCAAGCTGAAAACTGTTAAATTCAGCATAATTTATTTTTTGTACACATTGTCAATTACGATTCAGTTCAAAAGTACTTTATTAACCCAACAAATTAAATGTTGTAACACATATTACACAGTTTTCTCCAGAGATTTGCTGTAGATGCTAATGTCTATGAGTAGGAAGGATCTCCTGTAGCAGTCAGTACTACAGTGAGTCTGAAAAAGCCTCTGACTGAAGACACTGTCTTTTCTTGATTTTATGAAAAATCTTTGTTTGTGCTGTCTCCAGTGGATCAACAGAACAGAACCGGTCTGTTTTATCAGCTTGTTGAGCTTTTTAAACGCCTGGTTCTGAAATCTGTATTGGAATTTGTGAACAGAAATGTGAATTTAACATGAATGGTTCTGGCTTGAAGGACTGAGGAGGTGCAGTTGTGTTGAAATGGGAAAGAGATTTGAAGACGTGCAGATCTTTAAATCCAGACAAGAGTTTTAAACTTATCATTATTAATAAAGATAAAAATGTCAACTTATTTATGTTTTACACAGCTTGTATTTACTAGCTAGCAGTAAAACAAATAAACGATTACTTTAACTATGCAGAAAGTCAAAGTGAAAACTACATGTGTTCCTTTCTGCAGGTCACTCCAAGGGACCTCACTTGCCTACAGATTTATTGAAAGCAAGTTCTTTTTCAAATTTTTAAACGTACGGATAATTTTAACTCAACTTAAAATGATCTTAAATTAGGAAAAAATTATCTTTGTTACTAAACTTTCAAACACGTCAATAATTTAAACTTTCCTACATGTTGATCAATTAATCAGACAAAAAATATTGACACATTCTTCAGATTCTTCATTATACCATTAAAGCCTTTTTTAATACAATAGTAAAAATAGATTTACCATAATTTATTGATTCCTCTATGAAGGCTCGTTTTGGACAATAGCACCAGTGTACGGAAAGCTGATGGCATCAATAATGAGACGTACAGCTTGTTCTAAATCGTTATTTTTTTTCTCATGCAATGCGTGGGAATCTAAACATACAAGATGTGAGATTGCATTAAAAAATCAGTGGTAGCGTAAATAACGTGTAGTGGTATTTTATGCATACATTATCATTAACACTCTGTTATTAGTGATCAGTATTTTTGCCCAATCAGCGAAGGCAGAAAAAAACTAGAAGATCACTGAAAATGTCCTAATCACACACAGATTAGCAGTACAGTTTGGTCTGATGTTCATCTCACTCTACCCATTATTATCGGATGATGGCAGATCCGTTTAAAAAAGTAATGGCATTTGGTCACACACAACCTACAGAAAAACTGGTTTTGTTTTGTTTACGGCTGTATTTCTTATTTTTATTTCCAAAAACACGGTGGTGAACATCCCTAGTGCCCGTTCTGCCAAGATCAGCAGGTTTTCTGGGGCAATCTCTGTATTTTGTACAGTTTTGACTGAATTACTTCTTTAAGTATGTAATTTAATTTTTTTAACAAATTTCCTTTTTTGAGTCTGTGTACTTCAGTTGACAATTAACCAATTACTAAATTTGTTGACGATTATTTCAACAATCGATTGTAATCATAGATTAATCAGAAGTAATCATGATTGATCCGATTAATCGTTTCCGACCTATATAATTTATTTATTCAAGTTATTTACAGACCTGAATCTGTAAATAACTTGATCTTGAATAATCTGACTCCTGACACGTGTAGGTCTCTCAGCTAGACGTTCTCTCCTTTCGTTCCCTGCTTTCCTTTTCTTTACCTTTTTTTCCCCCCCAGGCAGAAATCCAGGTTTTCTGGTGGAAACTCTGCATTTTGTACAGTTTTGACTGAATAACTTCTGTAAATATGTTGTTTTCTTCAGCAGATGGCCTTTTTTTGAGTCGGCATACTCCAGTTGAAGATTCATTAACTACTAAATTTGTTGACGATTATTTCAACAATAGATTAATCGCGATTAATCATGATGAATCACAATTAATGACAGAGGAGTCCCGATTAATCGTTTCAGACCTGTATTATTTATTCAGGCCTGAATCTGAACCTGTAGGTCTCTCAGCTCGGCGTTCTCTCCTTTCGTTCCCTTCTTTACCTTCGCCGCTCCGCTAGCAGGGAGCACCGCAGCCTTTACGAGGATCTGCACGGACACGTCTGATTTGCACCGTGTATTTAGCGCAAATTAAGTGAAAGTCAACCGTGGGAGCCCTCCGCTATGAAACAGTCGTTAACATCAGAGGGACCTCAGGCTTCCCGCTGCGTAGTTTATGTAAGGCAACACCTTTGATTGAATTATAAAGCGATTCGGTGCAAATAAATCAGTCATAACGGGTTAATTACAGCTTTAATTTGCAGGCGTTAGTGGCATCGTTTCTATCTGGCCCCCCAGGGGACGGCCAATTACCTCTAATTTTGGAAACCTCGTTTTTGTCAAGTTGGTAATTAATGAACCCCCGCCACCTCCCCTTTCCGTTCAGAGGGCGGGGTCGTCCCAGGTTCACAGGGTTGAACTTGGCTCCTCTGGGAGTGACTCGGGTTTGAGTTCCTCTGCATTCATGGAGCCTGGATGAACTGGAGGCATGTGATGACAACACTTGTCTTCATTGTTCTTGGAGGGCGTGTTTGCGTTGAACTGCTGCTGAGGCTAAAGGCAGAGGCCAGGAATATTTCGGCGCGCTCTGTCAGAAAGCGGGAGACGCCGGAGCTGCAGGCGCCGATAAGGAGCTTTCAGCTCCGTTTCGCTGAGAGGGAAAGACACTTTTCTCCTGAACTCGGCGTGAACTCGAGAAAACCTCAGACTAACTCGTAAAATGGGAAAGAGCTGGAACAAAACTTCACAAGCACGCACTTGTCTTTCCATTCGTCATCCAGTTCTCTCGCTCCCTCCATCCATCCCGCTGTCCCCCGGAGAGACGCAGCGTCATCCGTGATCTGGCCTACCTCTGCTCCGCGCGTCGCCCTGCCTCCCGACGGATCATCTTCCGATCGGATCATCGATCCGGCTGTAGTTCTGGGAAATCTGAGTCTTTGTTCCACTGTTGTGTGTTTTTACAGTTGATTTGCTTTGATCAATACCACTTCCTGTTAGTCGTTTCATTTCCAGCATCAGAGCTAGATTTGATTTCTGTTCTAACAAGAAAGACTCTGAAAAATCTATTTTTAATCTTCTGTGCAGCGCAGAGTTTCTGTTCCTCTTCTGAACTCCTCTGTGGTTTAAAACTTCTGCATCAAACAAATTTGGGTTCTGTGTCTGTCTGCAGATCTGCTCTGGTAGCAAAGTTCAACCTAGAAACGAGAACCTCTGCTCCTGTTATGGTTTAGTAACCAGCTTAAAAATTAATCAATCGGATGCCTTTTTCTTTTTAATCATCTCTAAAGCCCTGTGGGTGCCGACCCACGCTCCGCAGAAACCCTGACAGCGCGCTCTCAGGTAAATGGATTTCCATACAGTTAGACGAGCGATGCTCAGCGAGTCAGATGCCTGGCAGGGAGGCGTGTGCCGGTGTGATGTTACCACGGTAAACACCGCAGCTTCGCTGTGTCACGCGTTATGATTGCAGCTCTAAAATCTGGTATCTTGCTTCTTTTTTCAAGCATCTTTGATGATTTGCTTCTTAAATGTTTGCGGAACTGCTGGGCTGATTTTCAGCCTTTGACATGACCGCTGTTCTAAACCAGCAATTAGGGGAGACATAAATTTAACTAGAATTTCAAATAATTGTATTTTACTAGGGCCATTGTAGATGGGAAACAAAGTAAATTTCTGCCAAAAAAATAAACCCTGAGAAATTGAGATTAATCTCAGAAATTCTCTAGAAAAATCAAGAACATTTCTGAGCTTCAGACACTGAATTTTTTTTTTTGATATTTTGAGATTAATCTGGAAAATTTTCTAGAAAAAATGTTCCAAAAGTCAAATATTTTCAACTTTTGAAACTTGGATATTTCCTATTTTTATTTTAGAAAATTCCTGAGTCTCACAAATAAATTTGCTGTTCTTTCTAAATAAATTTCAATATCTACAATGACCCTAATCCCCGTCGTAATTTCAAGACGGCATAAACCTTTACCTTGACTTTAGAGACGTTGCCTCCAGTGGTTGCTGCTGTCTGTAAGCACAAATTGCACGTAGGGCAACGTTCTTCCTCTGT